TGATAGTGACGGCACCACTTTCATGTGGAAATGATATAAGTGTCTTCCTTCTGGGAAAGTTCATCTTAAGAGAATTCGCTTAGTAATTTATCAATGCGGCATATTCCAAAAAAAAAAAAAAAAATAAGGCAGACGAAAGAAAATTCATCGTAGCAGTTTTCTCAGAAAACTCCCAACTTCTGATTGTTTGGGGTCGATTTTAGCTTTTACCACGAAGATGTCACATCCAAGTCCCTACTTAGGAGAATCTGATAAACGGACCCGAACATTTCACAAATTCCAAGTTCAAACAGATTTAAATTCCACAGATTGCAAACAGAACAAGGGCAACCTTTAAAACATCCTGATGCCGGAAAGCTCACACACCAATATGCCGTATAGAAACCTCCGGCTTTCAAACCCAGGCGCTCCTGCCTGCCTTCTTCGAGGATGACCCCTCCAAGGCGTTGAGAGGCAGAGGGTTGGGTTTGGCCTATTTAGTTCGTCAGAACTAAAAACGGATTGGCTTTTTCTCTTAGGAAAAGCAACACCATACAGGAAGACAACTCAATTTTGAATTTAGTGTAATTATTTACAAGTGCATAAACTCAAGTCTGACTCTTCCTCCTCTATCAATCCTTAAAAGGAATGATTGCCTTCTTTTACATTCTGGTCCCTGTGGCTAGTGAGCTAGAAGGGGAAGAAGGATTTCTAAGTCAACCTCCCTTGGTTTTCTAGGATATCCTATTCCTAAAATTTCTGCCCTTAGAGCTTTGAGGTGAGGAGTGGCTCCACAATAGTCTTTTGCCTGGATGATTATCTGAGCATCTTTAAAACCACAGGTTTTGTGTTCTGGAGGGAAGATGGGATTTCCAGACGCATAACATTTTCTTGCCTATTCTTTTTTTTTTTTTTTTTTAGGATTTTATTTATTTATTTGTCAGAGAAGGGGAGAGAGCAAAAGCTGGAGAAGTGGTAGAGGGAGAAGCAGGCTCCCTGCTGAGTGAGGAGCCCGATGCAGGACTCGATCCCAGGACCCTGGGATCATGACCTGAGCCGAAGCCAGACGCTTAACGACTGAGCCACCCAGGCCTTCCTATTCTTATACTCAATCTTTTCTCCTTTCCCTAAGATTAGAAGCACAGAAGCCAGGGCCATCCTACACTCTCACCAGTCTGACCTCTGGCGCACAGAATTAGAAAGAACGGTGGATGGAAAACTGTGAATCCAATTCCCGAAGAAGAGAAGGGGCTGGGTTTCCCTCTGTTTTATGCAATGGTGTTGATGGTATCCGTTGACGACAGCAGGGTAGCTGGCACCTTCTTCCCTCAATTGTCAGGTGCAGAGACAGAAGCCTGGAGGGGGACAGCATGTGATTTGCCCAAAGTCACACTGTATCTGGAAGCACACCAGTGTCTGACCCTGGGCTTCCTCCTGCATCCCCAGGCCACTGGCCTCCAAGGAGGAAAAGGAAACAAGCATGTTTGGGGCCCCCTGCCAGGAGCCAGGTGATGCACCAGGGACATTCCTGCCGTTGTCTGATTTCACATTTTCTATAGGGGCCACTCTCTCAACTTTTGCTGGGCTAGGGTCCTTCCTCCTCTTCTGGACCTATTTTGGGAATTACCCCCCATACCTTATGCCCCAGCACTGGGAGCTGCCTGCAGGGGCAGAAGGCCATCTTCAACTCTCAAGCAGGATTCTGCCACTGCAAATACCAAGCAGCATTTAACAGAAATTACCGACATTTGTCTTGGTGCGAGTTTTTTTTTTTTTTTTTCCAACAGGGATTAGGAAGAGCAATCATCTCCTGCCTCTCATCAATTACTTTCTTCCATATCTTTTGCATTTTCCCGCAGAACCATTTTGCAGGTACAACAGAGCGATCTTTAGAGATAATCTGGTGATTATTACAAATTCAGCCTCTCACGCTACAGGCATTAAGAGATGAAAATTGCCTGAAGTCCACTGTTGTACACCCAGTCTGTACCTCTGGACTCCTGTCCCGAGGTGAAAATGCAAACAGAGGAGATATTTAGAATCATTTTGACAGTTCATAAAATTAAGCAGGGATTAGGGATTCGCTTTTTTAAATAATGCCAGAGGGTGCACACAATGGTAATCATATCATCCTGCAACAGGTCCAGTCAAAGTTGAACGGACTATCTAGGAAGAGAGAGAGCAAAAAATGTCAGGTTATTAAATCTGCCATGTATCAGCTGTTGAAAATCCATTTTTTAAACCTTAAATTAAACTGCCTGCCTAATGGAGACACTAGCCCCAGCCCCCAATACCAATCGTCCCTTCTCCCGCGTCTGTTCTGTTCAGACAATACATGCTGTAGCTTCAGTGTCCATGCGCGTGACTACATCTAGTCAGAGGGGATGATTGTATAAATATGCATGTAGTACAAATAGTTTAATTTTAATTGGGACAGAGTAGCTGATGTTGAAACCATTTGCGTAATTTTGAATATTGAATGTGATATCAAGCACGTGACTGGCTCTAGTAGATTAAAAAAAGAAAGAAAGAAAAGTTCTCATCTTATTTGCAGTATAGGACAGAAGCCTGAGGACTGGATCATATGCCAATCTTACCCTAAGCGCTGTATCATTTTGACCAATCGATTCCCTTCCCAGAGTGTTATTTTCTCTTAATGGGAGGATTTTAAACCAAATGAACTTTAAAGTACTGTTTTGAAAGATAAGTGATCAGATTGTGCTTCATGGGGCCAGAGAACAGCTCTTGATTCTCAGCATCAGTCAGAAAAGTGTAGGTGAGGCTGCCCAGTAACAAATACTCCCCGATCTCGATGGCCTCACCTCATGACAGCTTATGTCTTGATCCAGCTTTATGGCCACAAAGCTCAGTATGGGATTTCATCCAGGGGTCTGGACCTACAGAGACCCCATCTTGTAGTTGCTTTATCTGGATTTGCCACGGTAAGGAAAGAGACTACTCTAGGAGGCTGAACATAGAATCTTCCACATTTTTTTCCAGAAGCATCAAATGCCAATTCTGCTCAATTCCATGTCCAGTTATAGCTGGATGGCCCTCCCTAAATGCAAGGGGGCTGTGACGTGTGGTGGAGAAAGGGGAATGTTTGTCACTTGCCATCATGCCTGCCATTATAAAATCATAAAATTTTCCTCTCTTTGATGAAAGAACAGGAAATTAACACTTTTAACCTTTAGCTAGGGACACAGCTAGACCTTGACAGAAGAGAAACATGTAAGCTCACGGCAGGTCAAGTCTGGCCCAGAGTCTTGGAAAAGTGGTCTTGAGTTTTTTTCTCCTCTCAAGCTGGGTTCACATTCCCAGCACCAACTGTCTCTATCAGCACCCATTCCCCAGTGTCTGCTGGGATCTCAGAAGTCATGTCAATGTCCAAAAAAAGAGCTGGAATCACTTAAAAAATCAATTTGATATAGGAAAAAAGGCATCAGCCTTTGAGTATGACCTCTAACCTTGCAAATAAGCTTCAACTTGCTGTTTTAAATATACTAATGTACTTCTTGATTTTTTTTTAATTTATTTAAATTCAAGTTAGTTAACATAGAGTGTATTATTACTTTCAGGGGTAGAATTTAGTGATTCATCAGTTGCATAGAACACCCAGTGCTCGTTACATCGTGTGCCCTCCTTAATGCCCATCACCCCATTTAAATATACTTCTAAGTGCACACATGCACACACACACATTACATAAACTCATAAACAATCAAAACTGAGAGTTGAGAGTATTCTGGGTCAAAATGTTACAAAAATTAAACTCTTTATTCCACACCTCTGACACCACCTCAGAATTCATGCCTTTCCCACCAAGAATTGTGGAGAATGATGACCTGAGGTTTCCTCCCAAGGAGAGAACCTGGGCCCCATTAAGAACATTCCCTACCTCTGGGTAGAGAGTCTTCATCGTATTTGCCCAGTGTAATTCCAAAATTGGTAAGGATTAATGTAATGGGTGCTTCTTAGTCTTCTCTTCTTCAACAGAAGTGAGATTGCCCCCCAGCTGCTCCTTTCCTTCTAATGTACTTGCATCATTGTGGAGGCAAGGTCACAACTAATTCATATCTTTATTGAGGAAGAGCTATCTTCAGACTTGATATATTGATGAATATGAGCTCCAAGATTTTGAGTCTGACAGGGGGACTTTAGAGCAAAAGTTGAGTACATTGTACAGGAGTCAAGGACGAAGGTTTATATTTGGGACCAATGTGGCAGATGGTGATAGACTATATTGTTGTGAAAGCATTTTCTGTTCCTTCTAGCGAAACGGTTCCTGTGAAAAATATCATCCTTCCCACTAGAGTTGTGCCAGCCGTGGTCACATGGCTTGCTTTGGCCAAGAAAGCGTGTATGGAAGTGATGCATGCTGGTTCTGAGCAGAAGTTTTCAGAATCCCTGTATGTCTCTCCTCTCTTTCTCTTCTTTAAGAGTATCTGACCTAAATCTGAGGAGGGCATGCTGCACAGCCACAGAATCCCTAGGAATCCTGTGCTGAACATAAATATGAACTACAAATATATCTTTGTTGCCCTGAACCACTGTGGTTGGGGATTATTTGTTACTCTTAGCATAACCTAAACTGACTGATACAAATGGTTACTTTTTATGGAGACCACCACAAATTTCCCTGGATTCAAACCCTTCCCCTCCATCCAAACCACCATTACTTTGGTTCAGGTCCCCATTATATTTCTTCTTGAGTTTTGCAAAAGTACATTATCTGGCCTTTCTTCCTCTGTTCTTGTTCCCCTCTGCTCTATTATCCACATGTACTCATAGTCATCTCTGCAAAATACAAAACTCGGGGCGCCTGAGTCGTTGGGTGTCTGCCTTCGGCTTGGGTCGTGGTCCCGGCGTCCTGGGATCGAGTCCCACGTCAGGCTCCCTGCTCAGCAGTTGGCCTGCTTCTCCCTCTCCCTCTCCCCCTGCTTGTGTTCCCTCTCTCGCTGTGTCTCTCTCTCTGTCAAATAAATAAATAAAATCTTAAAAAAAAAAATACAAAACTCATCTTCTCCCTTTCCTCCTTAAGACCCTTCAATGCCTCCCTGTTGGCTTCAGAATAGAACCCAAACTGCTCCCTGTTCTTCCAAAGCCCCTCCTTATGCAGCCCATGCCCCTGAGTCCCCGTCATTCTTTCCCTTTCACACGGTCTGTTCTAGCCCTCACCCACAAGCCACAGTCCTGCTCACCTGCCTCCACACATGCTTCTCGGTCTTCTTCACTGTCTCTCTTAGCTCAATTCTTTCTCACCCACCAAGTGTCAGCTCATGCTTTGCCTCCTCTGTATGTCCTTCTCTGTCCACCCTTCCCTCATGGGCAGTCTTTTTTTACCCCTTTCCGTGTTTCGGTGGCACTCTGTGCCTGCAGCTCTCCTGCCCTGCTTGCTTTTGGGTTTTGTTTTGTTTTGTTTTGTTTTTTGTTTGTTTGTTTTTTCTGTCTCTTCGAACCCTATTGCAGAGCCCAGAGCACAGGAGACCCTCCGTAAGGGAGAGGAATGAACGAATGAATGAAGTACAGGAATGAATAAACTAGTCATCATCTTTCCTGGTATACACAAAGGTTTTAGCATGCAGGCCATGCTGATGCCAGAGGGATGCGAAAGGAATGGCAACAGCCCTAATCAAAGAGGTGAGGAGGAAATCCCAGGTCTCTCCTGCACTGTCCTGTCTTTCAACTCACTCTCTGGCAACAATCTTAACTATGGATGTAGGGAGTACCCTGAAAGAATCCATTCCCCTCCCCCTTCCCTCCCTTTCCCCTCCTCCCCTGCAATAGCCCGCTGCCTTTTTTCTAGTTACTGTCCTTCTAAGAAAGAGGAGAAGGGTCAAGGAGTGACAGACAGGATAAAAGGGATGGAAAGGGGCCCTCTGGGAATTCAGCACACTGGGGCCATGTGGTCCGAGGAGGACAACTCCGGTGGGTGACTTAATGTGTTTTAAATTATAGATAAGGTCACGTGGATGCTAATCAGCAAGCAGCTGTCCTCTCTCCTCAGAAGGTCAGGGCCTGAGAGAAAGGATTACCGTGCCTCACATGAGAGACAGACTGATCAAATGTTATTCCTTGAGATTCCACCAGGTACCTAAGAGAGCTGAGCCCTGAACGTGCTGAGGTTTCCTCTGGTCAGTGCCACAGAGCAGAGAGGAGCCGGGCAGAAGACGTCCTCCACACAGGACCTGAAAGACACAACCCACGTGCACATTTGGTCATCATCGTCGATGACTAACTGTGACGTATCTGCAGTCTGTACCTCCAGCTCGGGTCCCACCATGTCTGCCCTTTGGGGAATTGTGGCACTTTTCTGTGTTTCAGTCTCCATCACTGCAACACGAAGGTGCTAACAGTAATAAGTTGACACATTTAAGGAGCACATAGCGTGTGCCATGGTTCTACTCAGTTTATCTCCCTTGCACTCCATGAGGAAGCTACTACCATTATCTTCAATTCATAGACAAGGAAACTCAGAGGGGTTATTACGAAAGCCAAGACTGGAAAATCGGAAACTGTCTGATCCTACCCCAAGCCCTAAACCACTGACAACCATCTGACTGTTTCTGTGAATCCTCCTTGGCTAAGCCCATTCACACCCATCCACACCATACCTGTAGCCCCCCGGGCCAGTGCCACCTCTACTATTTTACCACACCTGAACTGTATAATGTACCATGTTCTTGTGTTATTTATTGTTTCTCTTTCTCTTCTCTAGAATGCGAGCTCCCCAAGGGCTGGGACCTGTTTTATTCCCAAATGTATTCCCAACACTGAAGAAGAGCCTGAGACTAAGTAGGCGTTCCATGACTGTTGAGTGAATGGAGGACACTGATGTCAAATTAGAAGTATGACCCAGCGTGAGGGACTCCATATAATCTCCCAGAACCCCAGGAGAGACCCCAGGAGAGCCCTGGAGTGTTACCCATTCCCCAGCACCTGACACCAGAGCTCCCATCAGCGGTCACCAGCAGTCTTCAGCCTTGACGGCTTGCACCCTTCAGCACTTCACTCCAAGAGGCTGGGTGTGAAAACGCTTGAGGGCAAACAGCCAGCAAAAATGACTGCTAGTATTATTTTCCTTGGGGCTGATTGGGGGAGGGGAGTATGTACGGCGTCTAAGCTCCAGACCTGAGCTTCCCTGAAACGACGGCTGAGTCTGAGCTCACTGACACTGCTGTAAGGTGTCAGAGGGAGAGACATCTCCCACACTGAGGAGATCAGACTCTCGGAGACCTTCCTTGGCCCACATGTGAAACCCAATACCACCAGCGACACAGGCACCCTCCTCTTGCTTGAGAACAAACAGCAGAATGTTCCATCGTATTTGATGGGAGGAGAGGGAGTGTAAATTTCACTATGAATTGATAACACTTAGTCAGCCTGCTTCTAAAGCAAGGGGTTTGCAAAATTTCCCTGAGGACAAGCCCAGGAAATGTGTTGACCTGGTTTCACACACAGGCAGATCTCCAGATCTGAAGGTGGGGTCATCAGCAGCCACTGAAGAGGACACAGCCCTGTGACTCTTGTCATCCCCAGGATGCTGACTGCGGGCACCAACTACACGTTGTAACGGCAGGCTCCCAGGGTGGTCGTCGGGGTCAGTAGAAGGTTTAAGTTAACTTTTGGAGAAGTGATCTGGAGGGACATACAGTCTGTTTTACACATTAGAGGTCACAAACCTCAATGCCTATCATACTCAGGTAATATTTAAAAAAAAAAAAAAAAAAGGAGCGAACTGGAGTGATATGCAGACGCATATCCTGTCTAAATGGGGCGGAGGCTTCTCTGCTCCAGCCAGTCTTTGGTAGGAGAAGTAGGGAGAACTCTAGTTTTTGTCTTGTTTTTAATTATAGTTACTTTTTATGAGACAGCTCCCAATCTCTAACGGCTGTCAACTAGAAAAATTTCAAGTCAAAGGAAGGAAAAGTCAGGGGACAGCAGGTGATGCTCTATTGTACTGCTGAGCTGTACTGACACTTCACACTGGTAAGCTCACGTCATCCCGTGGAACTTTCTCAGAGCAATCTATCCATCGCCCCTTGCACAGCTGAAGAAGCTGTGGCCCCAGTGGGTAAAAATTACTTGCCAAAGCTTACCTGGTGAGTTAAGTGACTGAGATCATGAACACACAGGTTGTCCCAACCACAGTCATTCTCTTTCTTGTTCACAAGGGAACATTTTCTACTCTCGATGCCTAACAATGGACTGATGGTTTTTGTTAAGTAGTGAGCTCCCTGTTGCTCTGAGCAGTCAAGCAAGGTCTAGATAACCTTTTCCCAAAAATGTTAGAAAAGGCAAGTCTCACTTTGATAGTGAAATGAGACCAGATTATATGGAGGATCACTTTTGTTGCTCTGACTCAATATTTTTCAAAGCCCAGTAGGCTTTGGCAGAGTAATCCTTGTCCCATAGAGTTAGTTGGAGTGGAATTTAACATGAAGAGTCTACCTTGAATGCAGAATTTTTATAGCCAAAGACATGATAAAAGTTTCGGTGCAAAGGTAGTATATTAACTCCTAATGATTTGTTTTTGTTTTTGTTTTTTTTTAAATGGAGACTTCCTTGCTGTTCTCAGTCCTTTGAAGTATGAGTCTATGGATGCATAGAGAGTTCACCTTACCGTTTCCAGTCTTGTAAATTGATGTCAGTGGTACCAATTACACATACAAGTAGATGACAGCCTCTTAGAAGGAAACCAACAATACATGTATACTGTATTTTATATTGAAATCACTATAATTATTATTTCTAGAAAATAATGTGTCTGAAAAAGGTTGACTAGAAAATGAATCATAAAACAAGATAATAATATTAAAGAGACCACATTAAATTATTTCTGGAACAAGGTGAGAGATAGATAACTAGCTTGCTACACAGACAGAAATAGCTACGATAAAAAGTAAATATATGCAGCAATTTTCAATATGCATTGTTTTTTTTTTCCACATTTGCTAGTTAATTCAATCAATGCAACCAATCTGGGCTTTGCTTTGGCCTAATTCACAGAGAGCCCCGACATTGTGTTAAGGATTTTGATGCCAGGATCTTAGTTATTCCTCAAAACAATTATGTGAGAGAGGCATTATCACTATTTCTGTTACTATTCATATTATTCCCTTTTGAGGGTGACAGTCCAGAACCTCAGAAAGGTCTTATCAAAGCCTTAATCAAAGGCACTTGGCTGGTTGGTGGTTGAACTAGCCCTAGGAACAGCATCTTTTAACAAGTCCTACCTCTCCTTTTTTGATAACATTACACTGTACCAGAAAAGAAGAAACATTCTTTTATTGAATTTGCTAGTAGTTATACATGGATTTTAAGGCCAGACCAATATACAGAATGACCAGGTTTAACGGAACACTGAGACCATGATGAAAGCTGAACTGACTGATTCTCCGGAGCAATGCCATCTCCAGGTATGTATGGGATCAACTGTCTCAGATCCTGAAAAATGCTCAAACATCTCTTAAAACTACAAATTGATTATTTTAATTGACTCTAAGATGCAAAATTTTTGCGCTCTTAGGCTTTCAAGGAATATTATTGAATGAAGCAAACAGATGGAAGACGATCATCATTCCCCAGTGAGCGTTTAGGAGAATCTATGTGATGGAAGGACAAACCCAGGCCTCATCCTTCCGTGCAGGTCCCGTGTGTGTCAGCCAGACAAAGAGACACAGAGAGCAATGCCTGGGAGGGCCCTGAGTGCAGGCGCTTCTGTCCCTGTACAGGTGGGCTGGATCACAGTGTCCACCCACCTGGAAGCTCCCAGATACCCCTATGATGGGGATTTTCCTGAGGCCTCCTCACATGGACATAATCAATTATTAACTCTTTTTGCAACCCCTCTCCTGTCTCTGGGGGGATGGGGGTAGGGCTGAAAATTCCAAGCTTCTCAGCATGTCTTGGTCCTTCTGGTGCCCAGCCCCCACCCAGGAGCCATCCCGGAGCCCCTCCCCCTGCTCACCCACAGAGTCACCTCATTAGAACAAAAGACATTCTTTTCACCCAGTTTTTGTTTTTAAAGTAGGCCCCAACACTGGACTGGAACTCATGACCCTGAGATCAAGACCTGAGCTGAGATCAAGAGTGGGACACTTAACCGACTGAGCCACCCAGGGGCCCCAAGAGATGGCATCTTAATTAAAGTATTCTCCTAAGCATCACTTAAGATCTTACATTTGGTTTTATTTTTACTTATTTTTAAAATTTTCCCTGTTTCTTTCCATTAAAAAAGTACATATAGTGTAAAATGAGGAATAAATATTGAAAACAAATAATTTTTTTTAAAGATGATACCTCCTGATTCAAACAGTCACTGGCACGATAAACATTTCTCCCTCCCTTCGTTTGTCAAGTCTGTTAGCAAAACATTTCATCACGATATTAAAAATATGTCTAGAAATAAAGATGAACGAAGTTTATCATCTCTCTCTTTCCTACTCACCACCCACCTGAAAACATAAGAGAAAGGAGAAAGGAAAATGCAACAATAGGATTCTTTCCTTTCTCCATGGTCCCTGATTACCTGGCCATCGGAAAGGAAGATGTGATACCTTAGCTTCAATCATTTGTGAATCTTTCCAAACTGCTGTCATTTGTTCAAGGCTCTGGAAACCATCCACATCCCTGTGCCTCACCCTGTACATTTTTAATTAGGCCTCAAAACTTTCGTACTCAGCTTACGTATCACTAAATATCTTTGGAGGCCCCATGTCATGTGGGTAACAGATTGTTGCCCAGTCTTTTTTGTGATGAGTATCAAACAAGGCTAAAAGAAACCCTACGTCCTTAGTGCTTGTGTGCCTCCCTGCTCTATACTCATTTCTAGGGAAAAGAGCTCTGAGAAGGGACTCTGAAAAGGAGAGTAAAGATTTTAAATTTGAGGGCTCCAGTCTTTCCAAATTGTGTGGTAATTCCTGATCACACCTTTTGGATATCATGGCTTCCTCTGCCATCTGCTATACAAAGTTACCAGACATGAAGAAAAATGTTATCTGGAAACACTAGTTTTCAAATCAGCTTGATCTAAAACCAACAGATGAGTCACCATCTGAACTTTGGCTAAAATGTGGGAGACTAGGGTCTCAATCATATATAAACTTCTGTGGAAAAGTTGTGGGAGGGCTAGGGACAGAAAGGCACATGAGAACACAGAGCACAGAGGGTCAGGGAAAGGCTGTCTTCTAGAGAACACTGCAGAGGATAAAAGCAAAATGGCAGCCACCAGCCAGAGGGAAGTCTCATCCCTCCCTGAGGACATAGAGCCGGTGACCGGTAGGACACACAGGCTCCCACTCTCACCCAGCTTAGGTCGGCCTGGAGGTTCAGATGTTTAAACAGGGAAATAGTAAAAGTGAGAAGACAGATGATGTTTTTATAGGAAGAGGTGAAATGGCTTTCACACTTCCCAGACAAGCATGGGTAAGAGGGCAGGCCTCCAAGACGACTAGACTGGTTTCTTGGGTCTCTGATGAGATCTGACCCTCCCAGTCCCGTGCCAGCATAGCTTGGGAGAGCTGAAAGGGTCAAGGGTTGGAGTTTCAGAGCATGTTCCGTAATATGCTGTACCTTATTTTAGTAACATTCGTCGCTATAATTACTTCTTTAAGATCTACTTAAAGGGAGATCATTCCCACTCATATTGATTGAGCACATAATTGATTGGATAGGTATTAGTTCTGTCATTTTGCTAGAAGAAAAGAAAGAATAGGGGTATTAAAAAATATGAGAAGGAACTTTAGAGATCGTCACAACACACACTTTCGTTGGGAAAATGTTCCAACTTGTGGGGACACCCTTGCTCAAGCTTTATCTAAAACCCACCGGTTGGGGCTCCTGGGTGGCCCAGTTGTTAAGCGTCTGCCTTCGGCTCAGGTCATGGTCCCAGGGTCCCGGGATCGAGTCCCGCATCGGGCTCCCTGCTCCGCGGGAAGCCTGCTTCTCCCTCTCCCACTCCCCCTGCTTGTGTTCCCTCTCTCGCTGTGTCTCTCTCGGTCAAATAAATAAATAAAATCTTTAAAAATAAAAAAAAATAAAATAAAACCCACTTGTTGCCAGGCTTATCTAAGAATTTAGTAAGACCAATTTTACTTCTTATATAAAAATATAAAAGAGCAGACCGGTGATTGCCAGGCTGGAAGGGAGTGAGGAAGGTCAGATGAAATGGGTGAAGGGTATCAAGAAGTACAGATTTCCAGAAATAAAATAAACAAGTGATGGTGGTGACTATAGTCTGTAATATTGCATATTTGAAAGTTGCCAAGAGGGTAAATTTAAGTGTTCTCATTACAAGAAGGAAAAAAAACGTAGCTTTGTGTGGTGATGAATGGTAACCAGACTTCTGTATGATTTCACAATATAACAAATACCAGATCATTACCTTGTACACCTAAAACTAATATAATGTTATATGTCAATTATACTTCAATAAAAATATATGTTTGATTTTATTCATTAATTTTATCTCTGCTAAAGATATTACTAGGTAAAGAAATATAACTAATGTCGCATGACATAGAATAATATAAAATTAATAAAATAGATAAACATCTATAAAAAAGGATAGCAGTGCTCAACCACATTTCACTTCATAAATATTATGAAAAAGACTCAATTTTTTTAAAAAAGGTATTAGAAAACACTGTGGTTTGGTACTGTCCCATTATAGTTTAATAGTCATAAACATAAGGAAAATTCAATTAACTGAGAAAAAATATAAATAGTAATTATAACAATCACATTGAATAGTCTGGGGAATAACACCATAATATTATGAAGAATGACATTTTTGGAAGCTGCCTTTAGAGTTTACACAGGTATATGGCCCATCCGTACCTCAAAATCAACCTTCGTGGCCAGATCATTTTGGTTCCAGTTAGGCCACAAAAGAAATGGAGGCTTGATGAAGCTCCATGATTTTCCAAGAGTCTCTCAGCTAAAAATAGTAATGCTATATATAAAACCTGAGCCCCTAGACACAGAGAACAGATTGGTGGTGGCCAGAGGCTGGGGGCGAGAGGTTGCCGAAACTGGTAAAGGGAATCAAAAGGTACAAATTTCCACTTATAAAATAAATGTCATGCAGATGCGATGTACAGCATGGTCACTACAGGTAATATAAGAATGTGTTGCATAATTGAAATTGGCTAAGAGATTAAATCTTAAAAACTCTCATCACAAGAAAAAAAAGAAAGCTTTGTAACGACGTATAGTGAGGGATGATAACTAGATTTATTGTAATCATTTTGTAATATATAGAAATATCGAATGGCTATGTTCTACACTTGAAACTAATACTATATTATATATAATCATATCTAAATTTAAGAAAAGTACCTCTGAGCCATATTTTTGGCTTCAGGTCTAGAATTTTGTTGGGTTCGCTGCTGTTATTTCTTTTTAAACTGCAGAGTGGTTGATTAGTACTCGGGAAGCAAGATAAATTTGGGTCTGCAGGGGAGCTCTATTTACGTTGCATGGACTAGGTCTTAGAAAGCCAGGGTTTTCCCAGAAATCCCATTGGCCAGGATTGTGTCACATGACCACACCCCCTGCAAAGGAGGCTGGCCAAGTGTGTCTGGCAAAGCAAAACCCATCGACCCAACTGGCCTGTTACACCACTGTGGCTTGTTTCATCCCCTGAGACCGGGTGCCCTGCTGTGGCAAACAAAACCGTAGTCTGTTAGTACAAAAGAAGTGGCCAGGTGGCGTCAGCGTAGTCACTCCGGGTGACTTTCACAAGAGCCTTCCTGGCACAGGGCTTCCGGTGCGGCACATTCTCAGTATGTGGGAAGGGATTGCCTTTAAGCCATCGGAAAAAATGAAATCCGGGGGACCGCCGTGTTCAAGGACACCTGCCGCCCGATAGATAATTTGGCAATATTTGCTGCAAACATTAACATTTTTGGAGGACTGTGGTAGCTGTTTCATGTGAGGTTTATCGTTTCTGCAAATTCACTCACTGCATTTGGTCTAGTCGAGACCTGTCCCTTCTTAACTGGCTGACCCCTACCCTCATGTAGACTCAGCTCACTCATCCACCACTGAGCCTTCCTGGCCACCATCCACGACCCCCAGTGTCCGATGTTCCTCCTCTATTCCTTGTGGTTTCAAGTTTCTCTCCCCTCTCCCTACTCCTACCTCATTCCTTTAAAAATATCAAAGATCTTTTTTTTTTTTTTTTTTTAAGGTCTGCCCTACTCCTCTTCCTGCCTAGCTAGATATTGCTCTGCTAGAAGAAAGGGACCCTGTCACCTCTGGTTCTGTCTCTTAGCAGGAAGCCTCCAGCATGGCACACAGTAGGCGCTCCTGTCTGCTGTGTGGGACAGAGCGATTTGCCTACCATTGTCATTAGGAAGTTCGAATCAGAACTGCAGGCTAGGTCAGTCTGTCCCAATCAGACATGGCTGTATCTCTGCTAAGGTTGCCCCAGGCCAGAAGGAGATGAAGAAGCAACACGGGGTGCCTGGACATGAAGCAGACCCATTGAGCCGGGGCAGGAAGGACTCTGAGCACCTCAGCCTGTCTTAACCCCAAAGCCATCGTCATCACGATTGTCCCCAGAGTCCTGCATGTGGAACTCCATCTCTCTCCCCCTGCTCCCTGCCACCGGGCCCCTCTTCACAGATGCCATGTCATCTTCCTAGCCACAGTGGTGTGTTCTCCCCCTGTTCCTGATTTCCCATGCTCCACTGGCCTGGGATTGAGTGGCAGCTCAGCTCCAGAAAGCAGGTGTTGTGGAAGTGAAGCGAGCCTTGCAGACAGCGCATTAGGTAGCATCCGTCCCGGGGGAGCCCCAAGGCTCCAGGCTTTCATAGTCCCAACTGTTCCTCTGAGGGGTGGGAGGGCCAGGCCTGCCCAGCCCTGACCAGATGTTTGGGAAAGTTGCCAGGCTGCAGCAAAGAAAATTGCTGTTAACTTATCTAAGGTGTAATAAGTATTAATGAAGCCCCTTTCCTGTGTTTTTGTTTACAAAAAAGGCTCAAATCAAAGGTGACATGGGGCAGCAGTATGTACCGTGGGACGGACTCAGACACAGGGATGGGGCACTGCTCTGG